AAAGATTAAGAGAACCAACACTACTTTTGGGGTTTCTCCGAAAGCTCGAAAAGGCGCCGTCTTCGGGCAGTCCGTGACCTTGTGAGCCGTAAACTGGCACTTGGAACACGCAGCAAGCTTTCTCGCAGGGGCAGACGGTGTGTCCGAATTGATCACTCCGTTCGCGGACCGGGGCTTTGCTGATCCAGCTCCCCCGCCCGGTTTTATCTCGTCGAGCCTCTTCGACGCAACACCACGACAATCTTGACAATTTGCTGGTTTTGCAGGCTTCTCCTCGTCTTCTACTCCGCCGTAGCGTTGTCGAACGTACTCAACCAGTTGACGAAGCAAAACAAGTCGGAGGGCAATGCCTTGTTGACCTGCAACTGCATATTCTTCTTTACGGCCGACTGGAGCATCGATTTAACCCAAATACATCTGGAAGGCACGCTTAAAAGCGCGGCGCACTTGCTTGGCCTCTAAAGCTCGGAGATTGGGGAATCGACGGCGCATAAAAAACTCACGGGACGTCTTCGCTCATATCGACTGCATTCTGCGACGGCTGTAGACACGCTGTCGCGCCAGTGTTTTGCAGCAGCACTTGTCTAGTCGCCGCGCCGGGAAAATCTTCGTCCCCTCCAACCGGTAAAGGCACTTGACTGGGGTCTAGCCGTCAGCCTCCAGCTGCCACTCCTGCCGCCGGAGCGTAGCCAAAGCCACCTCTCCAAGGCATGTTCACGTCGATCGGCTACGTATGTCGTCGCCGCGGGGATCGGAATGGCGCAGGCACCGGCTGGAACGTTCCACGGCTGTCGCGCGACTGGTACCGTGAGGTTCGGCCACGACCTGTCATCGTCGCCACGGGGCGAACGCGACCGGTCTTGTCCGTCATGATCACTGTCAGCCATTTTAGACTCGTAGTTCACTGAAGTCTTTTCTGTGAGTCCGCGCCTCATTTGTCCGCAAGGCGTATTCCTTTCGGGAAACAAGGCAAATCCAAACTGAGTTACTTCTCATTATCTTCCTAGTCAACTCACTTCGATCCCCTCAATACAGTATCAACTTTCCAGGACGCCAGGACTCCGGGACGACGACCGACCGATACCCGTATAATTATCCGACCAGGTCGTCCCGTACGTCGTCAGTCATCGCGTTGTGAATCATCCAGCAACCAGCAACCGAACTCAGCGACGTTGGACTGGACTCGGGGCGCACATGCTCAGAGTACTTTCCCCAACAATGAACCAAGGGTCAGTTCCAACGCATCCCGCATCACTTCCATGCCGTCGTCGTGTTCGTGGAACTACACCCACTTGCGTTGCAGCATGGGAACGTCCTCGAACAAGTCTTACCAGGACGCCAGGACTCACAATGATCGCGCTGGATTTCTGTAGAGCATCGGCGTCGTCAAGTAAGCTTTGAAACCATGCGACAAAGTAAGCATGGTTAAACATTCCGTGGCAGTCATTGGGTTGTTTACGACCTTTAAACGCTTCGTAGGTCAAGAGCTTGGAGTTATCGTGATCGTAAGCCATTATGGCGGCTATGAAACAGAGACGACGCCCTTTGTGCTTCGGTTTGGCGTCGGTGCATCGTCAGGATGGTATATTCTGTCATTATGACGAGCACCACGGCGGTGTATACTGGATTCATCCAAATAGATTACCGGTCGAGGCTGCGAGGACTCAATCCCCGTGACGATGCATTGAACAAATTTACCCCTAGCACTGCCAACAGCGTCAGTGAGTCTAATAGAATGGTTTCCTTTCCATTGACCGCGTCGGAACCCAGTTTTACAAGGAAACACGCATCCACAGCATTTTTGTTCTGAGAGTCGAAATTCACAATATCATGGTCATACAATAAACTCATCACATCTCTTGCAACCACTCGTGTGCGAGTTGATCGACGCTCACGAACAAGTGATTGAATGATGGATAAAGCCTCTTATGTGTCTGGAATACGTGTATATGCGGCAATTTCTATTCATAGAAACATCAGTCACAGTCTTATCGTGTTGCTATTCAGACCATACTTCCTTTACAGCAAGAAGGCTTCGACCTACCAGCTGTGCAATCTGCTCTGCAACACCTACAGCATTGCAATGCGCAGGTGTGCATGCATGCGAAATATCACAAGACGTTCGTCTCTCGATAAGCTCCGCGTTCGCTCACTATGGACGAAGCTTGTGATCTCATCGTAGAGTTTAGTCCAGGCTTTGCGGGCATGTTGAAGAATGAAAGGTGAATAATCAACCATGCAAACATGCACCAAAAATCCCAAATCTGACCAATTAAAATGAAACATGAATTATCAAATGGCAAATAAATAAACTCCGACAAGGTTATTATGACACTAAGAACGAATATACTCTTGCGAGAGCTGTATTATTTCGAAAATTATAACTACTACGTAGTACTTAGGATGCGAATTGAATATCATTCTTGAATTTGATTGACCATATGAAAAAAGAGTACTGGTATTCTGTTTGAAGGAAGGTTAACAAGTCCATTGTATTCAAAAGTATACGCGGAGCTTAGTAGAACGATTTTTATGAAAATTCATCTACAAACAATCAAAATGGTCGGTCGATGCTTTCGACCACTGTCAGTTCGGATTTGCATATCATCCCGCAAGGGAAACGCCTTGCGGACAAACACGTCGCGGATTCACAGCAGACCATTAAACGGGGCTTTGTTGAGGCCAATTCAAACAGTACACGCCAAACGAACACATTGGCGCAACACAGACAGGATGTTACTGAAGCACGTTCGGGGCAATCCAACGATTCGTACCGACGACGCACCCCGTCCGCTCACGTTGCTGGTTGTTTTGGCCACCGTAGAGTCGGCCAGTTGTCAACTGTTGTACAGCACATTATGGGACATGCGGGTCGCGGTGGATGATGCAGCGGTCGTGAAAGAAGACCAACGCCTTGGCGACGCGGAGAGCCACTTAAGCGTTCATAGACCGCTTGAGATGCGACTTGAACTTCAGCGACCGTCGGGGGTCAGGGTGGCAGCGGCGGTTGAAGGTTACCGGTGTCGGCGACATAGATACTCCCTGGACAGGAAGCAATCAATAAACGACAGAGAAGAGGCCGAACGGTAGCTGCCGCTGATACGCAGCTCTGCGAGTTTCGTTGCATCCTTTCTTTGTGGACCGTACAAGCACTATGATGTCAGGAAGATCTCAACACTAGGGTGCTGTCTGTAAGTTGTCCCTTTGGAAGGCGACTGTGTCTTTGCGTTTTCTTGGGTAGACGTTTGTAGTGTACGTTTACACTTCGAACGGTGTGGCTGATGGACAGTATCTTTCCTTCCGCCTACTTGTTCTTACCGCCGCGTGGCACTGCTGGAGCCCCTGTCGCCTTGCCACATTGACCCAAACTGCATGACACAGATTAGTCATAATCATACATAGCACGTAATATGCCTACCTTGCCGCCGTAGTCTCGCCATTCGGCTCGTCGATCAACGAGGACGCACCTTTTCATTATCCGCTTCAAAAATGGTCACGTTGTTTACAGCGAGGGATTTTTTGTCGAGCGCGTTTAGCATCTCCCAGCAACGCAAAGGTGTCTTTGGCCATCTTGTTTGACTCGTTGTCGCGATGCCAATGTGTCTCTCGTGAAAGACGCCCCTAGTACACGTAATCCGTCAGGCACAACCGTTTGGCCGGGTGTCAGACGATTCCTTGAAACGCCACGATGAACGGCAGCTGCAACATCGACATGAGGTGGATCCAGCTAGAAGGCGGCGGCGACGGGGTTATAATGAGGATGTACTACAGCACTTTGACCTATTCCGTCCGCAAACTCGCGAGCCTGCCGTCACCGTACGTGCCTTGGCTCGAGTTAAAAATGATTTGCGTGGGCTTAGTTTGCCAGTCACAAGGGCTCAAGACCAACCAGCAAAATTGGATTCACAACACACGACGTGTGAAGCGTTGGAGATTCTCATCGTCGTAACAGTGGCGGTGATATGGATGAAGCTTGCGCCAGCGAAAGAAATACATATCGTCGACACCAGTAAGTGCATGACACCCACGGCCAGCATAGTCCGACGCTCGACGACGCGGGAGCGCCTTCCACGCAGGCTCTAAACGCGGTTCGGAACTTGACATGCACACTACAGTC